GGTTGACCGGGGTTGACCGAAAGTTGACCGGGGCTGGGGCCGGGGCCGGGGACTGTGTGTATAAACCGGGGCCGGGGACGGGGATTGCAAACCCCGCCCCATCCCCGCCCCGTTGCCATCCCTAAACACGAGCCTAGACGCAAGTTGAGGAACTTCAGTGACCGGCTTGCAAGGAAAGTGAACCGGGCAACCTCATGGTCACAAGGCAAGGCCGCTTAGGCCTATGTGACAGAAGCTTATGTTGAACAACTAGATCATATTGACCAAGTTAGTGCCAAACTCCAGCATGCAAGACCATGTTATTTTCATGTACATCATACTAAGATGCACAATACAGTCCCATGATATATTTGTATAAATTTGTAAGTCATCACATGTTATGCTTGATTTGTTCAATTGTCGAGCATGTTAGGTTTGAGTGTATCAAAAGATATAGGCAGGAGTTTTAACCCTCGAGTTTAGAGGCCCAATACGACCCATATAACTCAAGTGCCCGAATGTTTGATAGATTAAACTTTTGGTAACGACTTTGACACTTTGGAATAAAATGGATAAAATTTGCGGGAAATGAGAGAGAAAAAAATGGCAGGTTCTGCTCAGACTCAAGTTCCCCTATTGGACCCCGAACTTGAAGTAGAAGTCGAGAGGCAACAAACATTTCAGTGACTGTGAAATACCAGAAGTTAAATTGATTTTTTATCGTTAACGTATAAAAATATATTTTAATCGTGTTGAATTACATATTTTTAAATAGTCTAGAGAATATATTGTATTATTAAAATTTTAAAATCACGAGCTAAAATATATTTCAAAATTTAAAATATCACAACTTAAAACATCAAGTAGTATCCCAAAATTTGCATTCCATTCTTGTCCCATTAATTAAATGAAGAAATATTATTATTTTATTTAATATAATTTTATTTAGTGCATATTTGTTTTTTCTTTTTGATAATATGTATTATTATGAAATTTTTAAAGAATTGTTAATTTGATGAATTGACAACCAAGAAATACAAGATGAAAGTTTTTATAATAACCTCCATTACAATTAGGAGTGCTCAAAAGTTCGAGCGACCCGATCAACTCAATCCAATTCAATGTGAAATAACTTAACTTGAAGCAACGCGACGTCTAATCGAGTTGTAAAATTTTCAAACCGTAAGTATTAAGTTGATATTGAGTTGGTATTATTTGAACCCAACATAACCCGATAACCCGATATATATTAATATGTATATTAGGTAATTACATTATCACGCACCCTTTTCATATACACATATTTTCAATCTGTTCTCCATCTCTATATAACTCATTCGTTGAACATTTATATGTAAATTGAGAAAAGTAATTAAATCTGATATAAGTAAGATTTAAGTGGATAAGTTGTACTAAATGGTTGATGATGAAAAAAGTAAATTATGAGTAGTGAAAATAATATATTCAAGATTATGATAATATTTTAATATACCAAAATATTAACCGATCAAATACGGTTTGGGTTGGGTTGAGTTACACTTTGGTTTGGATTGGATTGGATTAAGATTTTTCAAACCATAAACTTTAAATTGAATTGTTCAAAATTTTTCAACCCAACCCATAAACATCTCGTTACAATCCTCTTGAAAGCAAAATCTTATATGGGAATGTTAGTTATAAAGGTTAAATGCATAAAATAGCAACTTCTTTCATAAAATTTCTTATTATAGCATTCTACTTTTGTTTTTCTTTATTACAACAATGTACTTTCAAATTATTTTTTATTAAGGGATTGTACTTTAAAAAATCTACCCATAATAGCAATGAGTAAACTGTTACCTTTTAAACCGGTTAACTCTTTGACTTTTTTGCTTGTGTGACTTTAATGAGGTAATGTGGATGCCACATCATTTTGATGACTTATCTAAAATTAAAATAAAAACTTATTTCAAATTATTTTTAGTGATTTTCATTTTTCATTGCTATGATCTAAAAAAACATTTAATTTTTTACTTTTTCTTATTAAGTTGCATTCAAATTAAATATTCTTAGAATAAAATATTTATTAAATAAATATGAAACATTATTTTCGAGATATATTTTGTTTGTAAAAAAGGTAACTTTTCCTATTTTATGTTGTTCAAATAAATACATATATTTTAAAGTTCTCTTTAAAATATTAACGAAATAAATTGTTATCTACAATTTTTTAATATTGTTATATTAATAAATAATTCAAAAAAGTCTAATTAATTTAATATATTTATACGTCAAGTAAAAAGTTTTTGAACAAATATTATATATTCTTTAAAAGATAATATTTTTTGGTAAAAAAATGAATATTTTTTCTTTTTCTTTTTTCAAAAAACACATATTTTTTTTAAAATGTTAGCAAGATAAGTTGTGTTTTACTAGTTTTATTGATATTGGTATATTAATGAATAATTTAAATTTTTTTAATTCATTTAATACATTTATTAAATAACATGTAAAATATCTAAATATTAAAATTAAAAATATAGTGTTTAATAAGAACTAGTAGATGCTATAATAAAATAATTTTGAAAGTAAAATGATGTGGCAAGAAAGTCACATCACTATAGTACATGTGGACAGCCTACGTGGACAATGAGGTGACACGGAAACCTAGTATAATGGGTAAATTTAAATCAAAAGGTTACCCAATGCTATAATGGGTAAATTTTTCAAAGTATATTGTCCTAATAAAAAATAGTTTAAAAATACATTGCTATAATAAGAAAAACTGAAAATACAATGCTATAATAAAGAAATTTATGAAAATAAATTGTTATTTTGTAATTTTGCCCTAGTTATAAATACCAACTCTATTTTATTATTTTATTTCACTAAAGGAAGTATTAAAAGTATTTTACGAAGGGAGAAAAAAATAAGGGAAGAAAACAAAACAAGAGATGGAAAACTGGTGGCGTTGGGGTATGCTAATGGCGCTCTACTTACCACTGATCGCAATTCCGGTTCTCAGACCGTCGGAAGGTAAGGAACTACGACCATCGGATCACGGACTATCTAACCAAGGGGATGAACAAGCAAAGGCCCCGCAGATGTCATCGTTCTTCGGCAGCGGAGTCTCTTCAACCACACAACCATTACCGGAAGCCAGAAATTTGAGCGATCCGTCGTGGAGTAGCGGCGGCAGCGGCGGCGGTAGTGCAGATCACGTGAGGAAGGTGTTGATAGTCTCCAGCTTAGTTTGCGGAATCGCCGGCATCTTTTTGCTGGTCGCCGCTGGAATTCTTTTCCTACATCGGTTCAAAAATCGAAGATCTACACGATAGTGCTTTCCAGCTAATAATTTTCATTTTTATATTTTATCCTTTAATTTCGATCCATTTTTTTAGTAACTGTTCAGTACTTCCTGTTTAAATGTTGTTCGAATTCGCATTTGCTCGATTCACACACACGAGACAAGAGGAATTTGCTTTGCATTTTTGGGTAAAGACGTCCACGTGAACACACTTTTCTATACAATTACGTTTAGGCGTTTAATTAACCTGTTGTGGAAACTGCCCCTTAATTTCTCTCTCGTCTACTCTCTGTAATCAAAATCCACCAGAAACAGGTAGCTTCTGTGAAGAAATGGCGGATTGGGGACCAATACTCATCGGAGTAGTACTGTTTGTGCTGTTGCAACCGGGACTTCTTTTTCAGTTACCGGGAAACAGCAAGCAATTGGAGTTCGGGAGCATGAAGACTAACGGTAAGGCTATTGCTGTTCACACTCTCATCTTCTTCGCCATCTACGCCATTCTCATCCTCGCCGTCCACATCCATATCTATACCGGCTGATCTCAGATCCCAACCCCTAATGGTGCACATCTCTCCACCGAGTATCAGGTTCTGATCAATCATTAGCGGATGGTGTCGTGTGCTAATCTTTCTATCGTTTTTTTCAATCAATCCATTTATGTTTTTGGTAATTTGATTTCAGTATAGCTGTGTAAACCTTTTTGTTTGTGTGCTCCGAGTGGTTCTGTTCATGTCCTTTTTGGGTCGGCTCTGATCCCCTGGTCGACTTTGGAGCTTTTATGTTGTGTTTTCGAAACCCTTCCTGCCAAAGGAAAGGAAAGGAAAGGAAAGGAAAGAGGAAAAAAAACTGTGTTGTTGAAATTTTATTTTGAGAGAAAGTAGAAGGAATCGAGAATTAAAATAAATAATTAAGTTTGCTTCAAAATGGTAAATATATATAGAAGAGCAATCAAATGCAAATCATTTGATTTGTACAAATCGTGCAAACCATTTTTATCTGTCAATTTCATTGATTAATCTTATGAAATTTTTTCATGAAATTGTTTAATCTTGTGAAATTATTTTATATAATACATTTTTTTGATGAAGTTGTTTCATATATGGTTATAAAATTGTTTCATATAATACTTAATGAAATTTTAATGAAACTGTTTCATCTATTTTTCTAAAATTAAAATAATGAAGATGATAATATATATGATTAACACCCTTCACAATAAAAATGATTAATCAACCTCTCATAATTACAAAAAAAATGAACAAAATGAAAAATTATGATTAGTTGAATGAGGTTTGTATGGTTTGTACAAATAACGTGATTTGCAAAGTAAGCATCCTCTCTCTCTCTATGTAAAAGGTTTTTGTATGACATCTTCCATATAAATTAAGAAAAAATAATTAGAGCTTCTGATGGTACATTTTTTTTTTGGTTTGTTAACCGAACAATACAATTAGTAGAATAGAATAACCATTGGAGTTGAATGTAATTTTTAAAAAATATTGACTTTTAATACTCTATTTTTAAGAAAATATAACATAACTGTTGGAGATGTTTTAATAACTACTCTATTTAAAAGATTTAACATTAATTATATCATTAATACATTTAATAAAAATTTATTTTTTTCTTCTAAACATTTAGTTTCAATATCTTTTATTGGTGAAGAAAATTACAATATTATTGACTTATTCCAGTGTGACACCAATAATAAGCACTTTTAATTGTTTGGATAAACAACTTATACCGGTGCCAAACTGGTAATAAGAAATTTTTAAAGAAGTTAAACTATTCTAACTTATAATGAGTTGATAACGATTAATTATAAGCAATCCCAAACACCCCCCCCCCCCCCCCCCCCCCTAATTTTCTCTATTTTACCATACTCTAGAAGATCTTTAAACAGAGAATCAAAAGACAAATTCTCCAAAAAAAAAAAATAGGTACATCTTGTGCAATTCTCTATCGCCATAATTTTTGGAGAATTTTTCTGAGAATTCTACATATTTTTCTCCTACTTTTTTCATTTTGGAGAATTTTGTCGGAGCAAAAATTTTCAAAAATCTTTATTTTAAAGAATTTGTCGGAGACAGAATTATTGGAGGAAAAAAAAAATCTATAAACCCACCAAAATCCCTATTTTAACATAACTATCAGGGGCGGATGGCCATACGGGCCTTGGCCCCTGAACTTTTTTAATCTGATAGAGTGAAACATCTCCAGTCCATTAAGGTTTTAAGTATAAAATTCTTTTGGGCCCCATCCACTATTGTTGATTCAGTCCATTTGTGTTCCGCCTCTGATAACTATTGAAGATGCTCTAAAGATTTATTACGATAATATTTGACTTTCATTAAAGATACACTATTAATAAAAGCATATAATTTCCTAAAAGAGGACTATCCCTAATTGGAAATTCTAGAGAAGTATTCATAATCGGAAATTCGGTTTCTTTTCACTTATAAATAAAAGCATTCGTCCTTTGAAAGGGATACTGAATACGTTATCAATATCTCTGCTCATCATCCTGTTTATAGGTTTATGATTATAACATATTCCATTTGTTCCAAAACGAATGTATATATTGAAAAATGTATGTAGTTTTAGAAAATGTATATATATTTTTAACAACTAAATGACAATTTTACCCTTAGTAAATAATGATAGTAGTTCATCTCATAATTAATGATTGAATGAGAAATTATTTACTTACTTTTTAAAAATGGATATCTATTTTATGACAAATTAAAATAGAAATATAGACACTTATTGTAAGACAGATGGAGCATCGGATTTTTTCCTTAAACATTTTATAAATGTCTGATTATTTTCTATTATTTAATTGGATTGAGTCCCATCATTTTGATGATAAATTCGCTTCATGTTTATGAACCTTTCTCCTTCTACAATAATATGTGCCGCTTCCTCTTGATGGTGTAGAAATTTATGAATCAATAAACCAAGTTTACGAAACTCCCAGTTACTCGCAAAGTAGGTGGTCGTCCTGAGATTAGTCGGCTCGCATAGCGGGTTGGATATCCAGGTTAATAAAAAAAAAATTAAAAGTTTACTGTACACTTTTCACAAATTTAAGGTTATGCATAATTATATTCAACATCTTTTAAAAGTTGTATAAAAAGAAATTTTAACAACTTAAAAAACATAATATTAGATTATTTTTTTTTATTATTATTTAATTAAATTATCATATCTTTATTTAGAAAAAAGATGAGAATAAACAATGAGCTAAACATTTAACTCGTAATCGTAATGGATTCAGAAGATTTGCTGGAAGCAACAAGATGCCAAAATACACATCTTACCAAGACCAATCTTTCTACCATTATGTTTAAATTGAAATTAAGATACAGATACAAGTTCTTCTTCTCTTTTGAATCAGATAGATTCATATATGAAATTAAGTGAGGATGGTGATTCTTATTTGGCCGGTGCTGGCTTACCGGGTAAGAGACACTTGCCAGTAATCTTGCTATGCCATTTTCATGGCCAATAATCTTATCCAGTAAGATAAATGTTGAGTGGTAGCTCTTACCCGGTTGTTTTACATCGACCACAACACCTAATCATGGAAAACCCATTTTCGACTCTCGGATGGAAAACAGAGTTATTGGTATTGCACAACTTGTGACAGGGTTGCCGGTCGCAATCACGACAGATTCAAAACAAGAAGAACACAAACACGACGTTGGATCTTCGGATTCAGTTGATGGATAAATAGTGCTCCGTCAATAGACAACAAATAAGTTCACGAGGCACGGAATATAAACCCACATATCGACACTCGAAAACATCTAAAAAAACTAGTAGCTCGGACACAATGCGTTACGGGCATGGGTCTAACGCCACTCGACGAGTTGATACGAGTGAAAATCTAAATTGGATGAAGAAAGCACAGACATTACATGGTAAAACACAAGGAAGGAACATAAGTTTACCGTATGAAAGAAGGCCAGAAACGTAAATCACATCCAATAGAAAGAACATGTAAGCCGAAAGCATAAAAGAGGAGAATCATCAAGTACGAATGTGAATACCGATAGCTACAACCAAAATGGTGTAAATACAAAAGTACAAGACGGCATGAACCAGGATGGATATGCCACTGGTGTACATATTCCCAAATTCTATCACTCGTGTCCTAGCCGGTAGTTGAAATAGCAGCCCCGGGGACAACAGTATAAACATAACCACCGCTACAGCCGCTGGCCCCCAATCTGTATGCATCTTTTCCTCTCTTCAATTCGATCTATATAAACAAAAAACGGCAGCTAGTCTCCTTTCAAGTCTAAGTGAGAGCAGGAGTTGCAAATAAGTAGAGGGCCCTAATGACTGATTTACTTGGTGAGGAAGGGAGGGATGCTAAACTTCAACAGGAAAAAAAAGGGTGGAAATGAAGGGAGGGAGGGAAGGTATGTTTTTTTTCTTTCTTTCTAGGGGTAGTGGGGGCAGGGGGCAGGGGGCTTTTGCTTTATCCTCTTTTTTCTTCATTAAGTATACAATTATTGATCCCAAGAGTGTTTCTTTTGATCGGCTTTTAAAGAGATTTATCATTATCGTATATGCAAAGAAAAGATTAAGTAGTTGATGTAGGTGTAAAGCTAGATTGCTTACCAAGTGCCATATCCTGTTTGCTTTGCTTTGCTGGTGGATCTTGAAAGTAGGCAGATAACCTGCAACTGCAAGTAGAACAACACATCATACCAAAGTCATCAAAACAAGTGTATAGCAATGGTATGGTTGTAATTAATTTAAGAATGTAATCAAGCTTTCTTTGGTGGTATTATTGTCTCCTTTAATGCAGAAAAGAGACCACGCATGGGAAAGTTGTATGAGCATGATGATGGTTAAGCATTAAACAGAAAAACAAAAGACAGATTATGTTTCAAGATTTAATATTTGATCCTTGAAAGTGACGGATGGTTACTTTTCCCATTCCATCACTCTTAAATCCAACTTGGTTACTTTGGTATGAAAAATGTGACGCTCCAAAACGAGGTAAATAAATAAATTAAAAAGCAAAAAGAACAAGGAAAATAAAATAAAATGAGTTTTATTTTATTGGGAAAAAAATATATAAACATATTTGAAAATTGGATTAAAAATGAAGGAAAATGTCATATTAGGGGTGAAATGTGTAAAGATGTCAAAAAGTAATGGAGCCAGGGGGTCGAATGCATTTTTATAATATTTAAGGGTTAGGTCAGATGTTAACAGGTCCAAACCAGAAGGACCTGTTTTGTAAATATACATCAGATCTGCAAATTCAGAAACGCGAAAACGACCACTCCTTTGAAGCTTTATATCAGTTTGAATTTTCAAACTATTAAGACAAAAAAAGGAACAAATATATGTAGCCAACACTTTGCTCTACACTTTTGCTTCAAGAAAACCGAAGTTTCATCGAGTTTCGAAAGAGAAATCGGAGGTTGAAGTTTGAGTTCGAAAAGCTCCGTTTATTGACGATTGAAGGTAAAATATTCAACCAAATTTTGAGTTCTTTATATGGTTGGCTTCGTTTTTAGGTCCTCTATGAAACCTTAGTAGCCTTATGTCTCAGATTTTAGTTTTGAATGTTCGATTTTGAGTTTTTTTACTGATTTTCGAGTGGTTTTAAGACCATAACTTTAAACGAGCGTATGAGACTCAATACTTGATGGTTTTCGTTGATTTTTGTTTCTATGATTAAGGAAAATCATTTTCTTGAGTTTTAGCAAAAAGAATCAACGAAAACGGACAAAAAAAAAGGTTAATCGGCCTAAAGAAGCTGCTGTCGTTAGGTAGCATTTGCATCTGGTATGAGGCATGAACATGATGGATGTTTGGGCTAGTGTTGGACTTCCTCTTTTATTTAACAAATATACTTATTTGACTATATTTTAGGCCATTATTGTTTTAACAAAAGAATGCTATATTTTTGGGGCTTAATTTGAATACTTAAGTTATAAGAATTTGTTAATTGACCCAAATTAATAAATTTCAGATTTAGTTAATTAGTTTATATTAGCTAATTAATTTAATTTCTAAATTAGTTACTATATTAAATTGAATTAGTATATAATTAATACATTAATTAATTTATTATTATTATTTTTTGAATATTAATATTAGTTAATTGTTTATTTTGTAAGTAGGTTGCTTATATAAATCAGTAAATTGTTTTGATGATTTAAGTGCCGTAATTTGAGTAAAGTAATTATTGTGACATTTTAATTTAGAGAGATGAGATTATAAGATATTAAAATGTTTTTGGGATGCCATTGAGTTTTGGACTTGGGGTTTGACTAAAGTTAGTCAAGGTTGACCGAAATGACCAAGGGTTGACTTTTGGCATGTTTGATCCATGTGGATTTTGATGATGGGTCAAATAGAGTTGTTTGAGACATATTAAGATGCTTGGATACAAAGTTTGACTTTAGGTTGGGTCAGAATGACAATAGTTGACTTTTGTTGACTTTTTGAGAAGTTAAGACGTTAATGAGATATTATGGTATGAAATGTGTAGGCATTTGGTCAAGAGTTATCGGTAGTCAATCTATACGCAATCAGGTGAGTCTTCATGAGACTTACAATGGGATGCATACATATGTATAAATTTATTTTCGAGCATTATATGATTTATATGATAATGTGTACATAAACATGATGTTTCAGTTTACATACATGATATATTTTACATGTATGTTATTTTATGATTAGTTGCATGCTATGTGTTTATTTTGTTTTCAAATAACTCTAGCATGTTATTTCATTTGAAAGTTTTATGATCAGTTTTAGCGGGTGAGCATTTGACCAAGAAGTCACATGACAAGTGRCACAACCCCGTAATGAGTGTCTAGACAGGTGCAAGTTGGACAACTCAGAGAATACCAATGACTAAATGACTCATATCCGACAGACAAATTATGAGATCTCTTTTCTTTCAGTGTTGCATGTTTTTCAGAAAATGCATACTATTTGGTACAAAGTTTATAAGTTGATATATATTATGTGAAATGATCTTTACTCACGCAAACCATGAACTCATTGAGCTTTATAAGCTGACTATAGTATGCATCTCAGGGACAGAAGGTTTCAGGTTGGACAAAGAAAAAGAAGGGGCATACATAGAGACTTGTCTAGTCCATTTAAGTTCAATATTTAGGTGCAATCATCTATGATAGATTAATTTGTAAAGCACATCACTATGGGATGGACCGACATTAATTAAGTTATATTCTTTAAAGTCTTCCGCTGTAAACGATCTACAATTTTAATTTAACCATTATTTTTGAAGAATCTGTTTTAGATAACATAACATTCCTCATGGTTAAATCGAGGGGGTTACAAAAACACCCTTAATTTTTTTGGGGTTTTGGGTAGTAAAATTAGTCTATGGGACTTGATGGATATAGTCGATTTGTATGCAAGGTTATCCAGCCATCTCCTATTCCTAATTGACACGTATGCCATCTTATATATAATCTTCTAGTACTATTTAAATAAAATATACTTTAGTATGCTGGGAAACTGACAAATTACACCAAGTAGTAAAAGCAAGCATACAGTTGAGTATTAAATATGCACATTTGTCTCCATTCTGAAAGAAAAACAATAGCTGGAATGTAAATATTCCATGCCATTTTGCCGTTTGAGGCATCATCATTCATCACACAAACGTTACTTTGAAGAACGACGTACACGATGCTTCACAGGCGAAGTTTGTATATGTCCTTTGTCACCTAGCTAAGGATTCTTTTGCTATATCTTCTGCATCATGTACATGGTTTTGTTTAAATCTAGACACGGAAGAGGAGGAAACTAACCAAGAGAAATGGCAGATTGGGCACCGGTTCTAATAGGGGTGTTGCTGTTTGTGTTGCTCACACCCGGTTTGTTGTTTCAGCTTCCGGGTAAGGGCCGTGCGGTTGAGTTCAACAACATGCAGACCAGTGGGGTTTCAATCTGTGTCCACACAATCATCTTCTTTGGACTCATCACCATCTTACTCATTGCAGTTGGTATTAGCATCAACATAGGCTAGCTCTTATGCATCTTCACATCAGTTGAGCTTCTTTCCTAGTACCATCAACCAGTTGAGGCAGAACAGAGATTGTAGTACGTTCTTCATCTTATTCAACCTTCTGGTCCTGTCCAAGTGTTAAGTGTCTTCTTTTTCATTATCTTATGGTTCCTTCGATCATACATATAAAGATTCGTGATACTAAATCTACACAAGTATTCTAGGTCTTTATTCTGTTGTCAGCAATAAATTGGATGTTGCACAAGATGAGTTCGCTACAAACATGGATTTGTAGATTTACCAAATACTGCTCTAAAATATCAGCCTAACAAACATATATGTATAGTTATTTTCTCTAAATAGAATTTTGAACAAATCAGACGTGAACTTTCCCTTCCTACATGGCCAAGAAACACGGGTTAGAAGAGAAACAAATAAATTACACATGTCCTCATAGTTCAAATGGAATAAGGGATATTCTTTGACCATTTCAAACTGCAATAACGTATCATCCAAAATGCTACATATCCCCCATGTATGCTACTTTCTTATTTGGATCAACACAATTCTAAGTTCTAAGTAGCAACTTAATTGCTGTTCTATCTTCAGACTTGTTACTCAACATCATCATCGGCTTCATGATAGTGTCCATGCTGCATGATGAACCATAAAACATGTGTTAATATCCTGTGTTTAGCTTGGCCTAAAATAGGCCTGGTAATATGAACCCAAAACCAAGACCAATTACAGCAATCGCTCCACACAAGTGAACACATTAGTCACTTATGTTAGGAAGGTTTGATGGTTGAAAAACCCCTAATGGAGACTGAGAGATGATGCTACATAATGTGCTTCATCATGATTAGATGCTATTATGCACCAAACTCGATACTTATGCTAAAAATTGGCAAGCATCAAGATAACCGGTTTGAAATTCATTACCTAAATTCTTAAGGCTACAATAGCTGAGATTCATACAGCAATTATGCTCAAAATTGGCAAGCATGAAGAAACAATTAACCAGTTTGACATTCTTCACCTTAATTATTAAGATCTACAATGTCCGAGATGCATAAAGAAATTGGTGACACAATATTTCCTGATATGCAAACTACACGAACCAACACTTTTAAGTAGGACAGTCATCAGGTATTCAATTGCTCCTTTGATGACGAACCTGTAAGCTAGGTCGATTTAGAACTTAAATGAGCAAATCGAATACATAATTCACAAATTAACTATGTGATCATAGGACTGGTCACTTGAAGCCTTGAAGGCGCACCATGAACAAATAAACAAATTAGAAGAAATGAAGAGCAAATCTGAAAAGTGAACACAAGGATTAAAATTTCCAAACCTGAAACAATCCTGGTGGACGGACAGAGAATGACTCCAGCCAAGTAGCACAAATTAGAAACGATCCCGGCCAAGTAGAACAACATTACCAAAGCAATCACGCAAGGCATCAACATGAATCCGATCACGAAAATCGCGGATCCAAACAGCATCAACACGAAGGAAATCCCAATAAATATTGCAGCGAAAGCAGTGGGAGACAGTTGTGATGGATGTGGCGAGGTGGATGTCGACGAGGAAGCAACGGTGGAGCGGATGAAGGCGGATGGGAATGGGATAGGTAGAGGAGGTGAACTGAGGATGTTGATGATCATAGAACCGAGCTGGTTGAGAACACGAGTCTGATCATCTTGGTCTCTCATCTTCGTGTGTTGATGAAGAAGAGCATGAAGAAGAAATAATCATGGAGGTAGAGAGGATAAGATGATTGAGGCAAAACACAGACATTGTTGGAAAATCGAGATCAACAGGATAAGATCTGACGTCTGCAACTCCAATCTTCGGCGCACGGAATTCTGTAGGAGACGATCACAAGACGACAACACCGTCCACGAAAACAATTTGAGAATTTTGGATGCGGATTGATTGTAAAAACAATTTATTAGTTTATTAATTTTTGAGTTTTTGGATAAATAATTTATGTTGGTGTCAAACAGGTAATAAATTTTTTTTTTTAAAAAGTTAAATTATTTTAATTTATAATAAATTTGTAAAAAATTTTATAGAAAAATATAAGTTTTTTCAAATAAACAATACCAAACATCCCTTTTGGTAGGTGTTTATCGGTTTAAGTAATTTACTCGGTAAATATAATAAGGGTCAACAATATTATTTGATAAGTGAGAACTAGATGTGTATCCGCGCAATGCGGTGGGAGCCATAAATTTTAACGATTTTGAAGTTCCACTGGTTTTATAAGATAAGATTTAACAATGATATAGGTTACACTTGGTCTTTACATATTAATAAGAGTTATGGTTCCAATTACAGACTATCGATGAAAAAAATTGTATGACAGTTTAAAATCCAATATATTTAAAATCCAACATATTTAAACGATTCCACAAGTGTGTTCGATTTACACTAAGAGCAAAAAAACAAGAAACTTGAGTTTTAAGACAAACACTCAAAACCAATAAAGAAAACTACAAATTTAACAGATCATAAGCTATGAAAAGACCAAAAAGATGGGTTTTTAGAATGAAATTTCAACTGCTTACCCTCTTTCTTGTCCAGAAACTCATATTAAGGTTGAATTAATACATGTATATATATATATATTTCAAAAAAACCCAAGAACATATTATACAGTGCAATTTGGACAACCTAACTCCAAAATATATAGTATATATATATAAATAAATAACTATAAAAGTATAAATCGTGAATATTAAAAATAATTTTTCACAGTATATATAATATATAATAATATAATTAAGTCAAAAACTATTCAATATTGGACTCATTTCAAATATATTAACGAAACGATTATAATTGTGTAACTTGTTAAAATAAAAATGTATTTTTTAAACATGTTTTAATTGATATACGATTATGTATGTTAATTTGATAAAGATTTAAAATGAAACATTTAAAGTAAAGAACGTAAAGTAAATTAATTAATTAATTATAGAGGTATAAATTGTAAATTTAAAAAAAATCGGTTGTGAGAGGGTGAGTGTATATGAGAAGAGAATGGTGAAAAAAATGAAAAAGTAGTATAAAAGATATTTTGGTTCTTTAGTATTTTAAGACTTTTGCTAAATTTGCTTAATAAGACTAGAAGCATACTCGCGCAATGCAGCGAGATACATCGTGATTTTAATATTTCATTTTATTCTTTATCTCAGTCGATGTTATAATATGATTTTATGTGATTTTGAGAAAGCGAT